GAAGGTGAATTAGCCGGTGCTGGGAGGGGGGGAGAGATGGTTCATCCCAGCTCTAGGGAGGGATTTTTCAGGTCTCTCAGCAAGTGCTCCCGGCACCCTCCTTCCTGGGACTCCCCAAGACCTTGCAGCCTTCCAGGTGTGTCTGGTGGGCAATTAGCCGGTGCTGGGAGGGGGGGAGAGATGGTTCATCCCAGCTCTAGGGAGGGATTTTTCAGGTCTCTCAGCAAGTGCTCCCGGCACCCTCCTTCCTGGGACTCCCCAAGACCTTGCAGCCTTCCAGGTGTGTCTGGTGGGCAGGGCCCCCTTTTTGAGGATAAGTGTTTGGTGCTTTTTGACTCCCGGGTCCTCAGCTGGAAATGCAGCTAAAGTGCTTGACTGCTTCTTGCTTGCATTCGTTGGGTTCTCCATCTTCGTAATAATTTAGTCACGCAGGAGGAAAACAGGTTACCAAAAAGCCTCACCTTGCATTTAAATTTGGAAGAGCAAAGGTTCTCTCCTTTATGGCTTGAAAACAGAGCCCTCTTCCCAGCCGCCAGCCAGCCTGAGCCCCTGCTCTTCGGAAGCTCCCTGCCAGCCGGGGAGCGGAGTTGAGATCGTATGTGCCTGTGTTTCTGCTGGGTGGTCCTTTGAGCACCTGGCCTGTGAGCCAGAAGGCCTGCTGCAGAAAGAGCGGGAGAGCCTGCCCACCTTTCCTGCAGGCTGCAAAACCTCCATCAGGGTTTGCAGCCTCGGTCCAAAAGCACGGAGCTGTCCCAGAGCTCCCTTGTGACTATTCAGCCCGGCCTCCGTGTGACGCTGGCAGGAGGACCGGGTGTGTTTGCAGAGGGCCAACCTTCGGTCTCTTTCATGCAGCAAAAGCTGAGTCAGAAGCAAGGAGTTGAAAAGCCAGCGCCGTCCGCCAGCGCACGGAGTGGCCTTGGGAGCTCGGCAGAGGGGGCCAAGGGGTGGAAGAAACCCCCCGAGAAGAAAGAGGCCAAGGGTCCTCCCCAGGGACCCAAGGAGCCCCCAAACCCTGCAGAGCAGAAGAACACTGCAAAGAAGAGGACCAGGGACGCCTCTGCAGCCGAGCCTCCGCTTCGAGGCCCCCAGCCCGCCGGAGGGGCTGCTCCCTGGTCCGGGTTCCAGACGCGCGCAGAGGTGGAGCAGGTGGAGCTGCCTGATGGCAAGAAGCGCCGCAAGGTCCTGGCTCTGCCTTCCCACTGGGGACCCAAAATCAGGTAGTGGCTCTTCCGGCTTTTGCTGGGCTCTGGCTGGCGGGTGTCTGAGCTTAGGGGTTTTGGGGGGTGGGTGGAGGTAGGAAGAACGCAAAGAGGCCACGGCTCCTCTTGCTGTGCGCGACAGCTCCCTTCTCCACACCTCTGTTCCTGTCCCCCTCAGTTTGAACTTCCCTGACGCGTTGGCTACACCGGCCTCTCATATACACCAGCCTGCTTCCCTCCTGGCTCCTGGTGCTGGGCGTGGGCGTGGAGGGGAAGCAGCGGCCTCGTTGATGGGCCCCACCTCCCTCCTCCGGCGGCTGCTTTGATGGGTCCCGTCTTCCCCATTTCTTCGTACAGGAACAGCTACAGGTGTCCTGCGGTGGGAACCCCTCCTGACTCACACAGGGGATGCAATACCTGTGGGAGGGGGAAATGGCAGGCGAGGAGGGGGTGGGCTCCAGAGCCCGACTTGTGACTGTGCGCGCTGTTTGTCCTGGCAGGAAGCGAGATCAGGGCAAAGTGAAGGCGCCCCCTGCCAAGAAGCTGGCGCCCTCAAGCAAGCGGCAGATGAAGAAGGAAGCCCGCGCAGACCCTAAGCAGG